TAAAATAACGTGTTGATTTTATTTTATTTTTTTTAAGTTCAATTGAAGGTGATACTTTATGATTATTAGGGTTTTGTGATTTTAGTTGAAAATGATATTTTATGATTATTAAAATTTTAGTTAAATACAAACTCTAAAAGAATATAAAAAGGTTCAAAAGATTTTTTTTTAAAAGAAAATATTAATTGATGAATTTAGAACGATATATTTTTATTTAATTTTATATATGTCTATTTAGTTAAAATTTACATAAGTTTAAAATATAATATAATTATCTTTTTAAAAGTGGATATTTCTAAAAAAAACTATAGATGTAAATAGTGGCACCCAAATTTAATTAAGAAATAAAGTTGAATTAAACAACAAAATACATTATTAACTAACAATTGAAAAATATGGGTACCAAAAACGGAATTGGAGAATATTTACTTTTACTTTGTTTTCTTTTTTGCTTAGGAAAATTTCATATATAAGAGATTAAGTATTACCCATTTTAGAACTAAGAAATAAGGTTTAAAATTTCAAAATCAGATATTAATCAAATTTTATTCATGGTTTAAAATTTCAAAATCATAATTTTTCAATTACATATTTCATTCAATTTTATTAAAATTTACTAAATATTTGATTAATATTGGCTTAGTATTAAATTTTATAGAGTAACGCTATACGAATCGAAAAAGTTTCACATAATTCATGCAGGGAATACTTGGCACAATCTCATTGGAATTGGCAAGAAAAAAAGAAAACATTTATAAATTAGGTACTATCAATGCAGCACCTGTAGGAAATCTGTGAAGAATTCACCTGTACTTGGGGGAATTTTCCTAACTTTTATAATGGTTAGTCATAAATCAACCGAATCCCTTAGAAATGACAACTTGAGCACCAAAATCATAGGTTGAAGATAGTTTTGCCAAGAATGAAAACACAGGGACTGGTTTCGCACAATGCCTTAAGTTTGGAGATGATTTATGTAAACATCCCTTTGTAGATAAATATCCGAAGTGAAGTCATCCCCGCTCTAACCTAGACTTTGTGCGAGGCGTTGTCTTCTTCAAAGCCACTCAGAAATTTGGGGAAATTTTCGTCTAGTTTCGATTCGGCTTTTGCAGGTACAAACTAGCTTTACTATTTCGTAATATAACTGTCCAATCGCATATTAATCTAACCTAGACTTTGTGCGAGGCGTTGTCTTCTTCAAAGCCACCCAGAAATTTGGGGAAATTTTCGTCTAGTTTCGATTCGGCTTTTGCAGGTACAAACTAGCTTTACTATTTCATAATATAACTGTGCAATCGCATATTAATCTACATCCATGATGGTCTTTGCTTGTAATTATTCTGTTGATGTTTACGTATGAGCGACATACGGTTTACGTTTATACTCAGCATCAGATGTTAAATTGTACATACCCATGTATTAGTTACTGAATAGATTTTATTGATGAATACCTGGTGTAATTGGAAAATGAAAAGGCACCATACTAGCCTCCTGTATTTAAAAAAAAAAAAAAATTATTTCTGGTATATAATTTAAAATAAAACATATCATANGCCCCATTTTTTTTTTTTTTTTTTTTTTTAAAATAAAGCCCACTATGCATAATGCCTCAGAAACTGACATCTTCAAACTTACATACAGACCGCACTAACAAGTAGGCCTTGAGAAACCAACGACAGTCGGCAAAAGGCCAAAACCTAGACATAGGCGGATTCGCGGAAGAACAACGGCGACGGTAGAGGTTGGACTTGATCAGGTGTGGCCGAGGAGCCGTCATCACCGATTCATCATCAACAAGCCACCTCTCAATTTCTCATCTCCTTCTTCAATTTTCATCCCGTTTTGCCAATTTTGGGTATGTCTAGATTTTTAAATTTCTTCTTTTTCTCTCTTTTGCTTTCCTGCATATGTACTACAGTAGGGCAATTTCATATTTTCCTTTTGCTTATCGATTTTTTCGAAAATGTTTTTTAAGATTGTTCCTTGTTAATTAATTGCTGTTGGGATTATTTTTCTGTTTATGCATTGGTTTTAGTTTCTGTTAATTGTTATTAAGTATTAATATTAGATTTTTAGTTTTGCAAACTAGTCACCAAACTGATTACAGATTACCTGCGGCTGTTTATGAATTTATGTAGTGGTTTTTTGTACAAGGAACCAATTAGAACATAAGACTAGTTTTGGACAATGCCTAAAGAAATAATGCTAAATAACAAACCTTTAGAGAATTAGAGACGAGTGTTTGATGGTGAGAATCCCAATAGTCAGTTCACTGGACCCGTCTGATGTTTTCTAATCTTGGTGATTATTCTTGATGCTGCTTGCAGATGGTTTTTCTTCATAATTTTGAACTTCAGAAAATGGTTTTTGAGTTTTAGGGTATAGATTCTTTATTTCATTATCTGTTCTTCCTGGCAATTGAGCTGCAATCTGAGACCGTCTGATAGTAAAAAAACCAACACCCTCATGGACCATAAGAAGCTGGTTAAAGCTGAACATACTTTTTTGGTAGTGTTAAGTAGAGAAATAAGGCTAAATAACAAACCTTTTAATAATGGACACATAAGGCAGGACACAAAAGACTTTCTTCCTTTACATTGCTTTTGCAAGGGCATGGAATTGAACATATTCTGTGGTTCTGAATCTGAATGCTTTTATATTTGAATTTAGGCCACATTATGATGATTGGAATGGTAACAATGGACACATAAGGCAGCCCACGATTGCTTTTATATTAACAGGGTAGTTAGTGAAATTTCACTAGCATCTGCATCACTTAATAATATCTATCCGGCAATTATTTGCTTTGATGAGTTTTATCCAATTATAAGCTTTTTAAAGGCATTCCATGAATCCAATTTTGCTTTGGAAGTCTTCATCACACTTTTAGATGACTATAACAGAATTGATTTTAGACACTAGTGTCATAATTTCCAGTTTTTGCTCTTCATTTTGGATGTGTGGATTGATGTTATAATTTTTGTTCTAATTTTACAGTCAAATATCAGGAATTGTTAGCTGTTGAGTGACTTGAGTCAAATACCATGGCTTGGGAGCCCAAATCTTGAGGTTCGCCTCAGGCCCCGTGAAACACAGGTACGGCACTGGTGTGCTGGTTTTTGGCTATCAAATATTTGTTCGATAAAAGTTAGATGGCTGATTTGTGGCACCTTGTTGAAAATTCTATTTGATTTTTATACGACTTGTTACTATTTTATTTGTAGGCTGCATTTGCATCTTTCAATATTCAATTTTTATTAAATGAAGCGTTATAAATTGGACCTAGTCGGGATTTTTGCTCTTTCTTTTTTATTTTTAACTTATGCTAGTTATTACAATAATGTAACTAGGATGATAAAATTTCGTCTGTCAAGATTTACCTCTTTATTATGTGGGCCAATTTGAATTAATAAATTCATCCAACATGTTAAGAGGGAAGTTCAGTGTTGCTATGTTGTTCGAGAGGAGGGTGTTATATTATGATATGAATCATATTGCGGTTAAGATTGGTGAGGTCATCTTGTGGTTTGTTAGACTGTTTAGTATTTTGCTTTACAAAATGCAATTGATACACAACTGTGGAAATCTATTCTGAGTTTCGAGTGACGTGTTGGCTTAAACTTTTTATGTTTTTCTATGTGAATGTGTATTGTAAATTATCCATTCTAGATGTTTACAAGTGTGTGCATGCAATGCATGAGAGAAATGTTGTTTGAATACTTTTGGATTGTTCATTTTTATTTGTTGGATTATTGGTGAACTGGGCTGTGGATTGTTGACTTGTGGATGAATGTTGTTGTTAAAATTGGATTATTGAATTTTTATTTTTACATTTTTGGCGCTCAGTAGAATTTAAAATGGAACATCATTGACCTTTTGCTGCGAAAATAGAAATAGATTCTACTATAGATGAAGTAAAATGAACAACTCCCTGCATATGGTGCCCTTTTTTGTTTGTTTGGAGTGAAGTGAGTGATATTATGCCATGTGTTCACCTGTAAAAAAAATTCTGTGAAATCTATCTGAACGTGTTGCATGGTTTGTGAGAGATACTTTTTGTTATACTTAAAATACTATGGTTGTCAGGGAGATTGAAATTTTGTCAAATAGAAGCCTTGATTGGTTTTACGTTAATATATGTTTGTTATTGTTGACAAATCAGTGTATTTTTTCATAGATTTAAAGAAATTAAAGTGTTAGAGACTGTTCTTTTTTATTTTTTTTTTATTTTTTTATATTAATAATCATTCTTGTCAGGAATGAGTCGATCACTTGAGACTAGCTCTCTTAAGAGGAAAAGACCTGAGGTAGATCCATTGGGTCTTGTAGATGCTGAGCGTGCAATCCTTAATGCAATCAAAAGTAAAAAAGATTTGGGGATTTGGGTACGAGATATCAAACACGAGACAAAGCTCACTGATCATGTCGTCAACAAATCGCTCAAGTCATTGTTGACTAGGAAATTGATAAAAGAGGTCGTAAATATCCAGTACAAAGGGAAAAAACACTACATGGCAGTCGAGTTCGAACCCTCAAAGGAAATTAGCGGAGGTGTATGGTACGTTGATGGAAATCTCGACAAAGAACTCATTAATGTATTGAAACAGTTGTGCTTACGGTGTATACGTGTTCAAAAGGTTGCTACTATCGAGAGAGTTCATGAGGATTTGAAGAAGCAACGAGTGGTGACGTTCGAAATCTCTATCCAGCAAGTTTCCGAGATACTGAACTCAATGGTTTTAGACAATGAAATAATCGAGGTGAAGAGCACTGGCCTGGGGGAGTATTATTCGATTCCAATTGGAACAAGTTGTTACCGATTTGATAGTGGTGCCCTTGTAGCCAAGGGTTCGAAAGTGGGCGCATTTGCTTCAATTCCATGCGGTGCTTGTCCTCGGATTAGTCTGTGTACTCCCGATGGAATTATATCTCCTAGTACTTGTGTGTACTACACTAAATGGTTGAATATTGATTTTTGATGCGCCTTGTGATTTGTCTTTATGAAGTTTGCTCTCGGCTGTACATTACAGATTTTTAATTATTTGATTTGAGCTATTTTCATTTGGTGTATCAGTATTCTCGTGTTAAAAAATTTCTCATTTTCATTTACACGAGACTGGAACATTACCCGTTTGGCCCCCATTCTTCTCCCCATTTTTTTCCTTTTTAACCACACATTTAAAAAAAAAAAAAAAAAAAAACTATTGTAACCATTAGAATTTGGCAAGAATGGAGTCCAAACGGGGCTAAATTTAAATCGGTCCAACCATACTACATTAGGGTGCATTGGAGGGTGTTGATCGGTTGCATGAAATTTGATGGCTCATCATATTCGGGACTTTTTTGAGTTCTAAAATTCTTTACAACGTGCATTCAATATTGTGATGACATATTATAATACCCTTTTGAAAAATAATGTTATGTAGTTTTACTGTGATTATAATTTCAGTTTAGCGTTAGATAATAGGTTGAATAAAAGGTGAAATTAAATGTTTGACCTATCATTTAATGCCATAATAACGCCATCTAGAATAGAGTAGTAACTCTAATGAGGTTAAATAGCATTACCCATTTTTGTATTGTTTAGTTCATAACTTTCAATTGATTAACATCAAGACCGCTAAGTGCTAGACTCATAAAATGAGTATGGCCAATGTTCCATTCGGTCTAAATAATATGGCTTTAATCCATGATTTGATGTTCATTTTTGTGTAGAGTAGGTTTGGACAAACTAATAATCAATGGTGCAAATTTTCCAGATTAGCCTTTAATGGTTAAAGTAAAAAATAATTATATATATATATTTTTTCTTTTCTGGTTTAGGAGGCCCTGTATCTTTATCTCTACTTTAAGCTTAATAAAAATGTTCATAGTCTGTTTTCACTATTTTTATTGAAAAGGAGCATTCCAATTGGCCAAATAGACCCAATGGTCGACTTTTAAAAGGTAGATGGATTTTATTGAATTCAATGGGTTATTCGTAAAAAAATCATTAAGACTGGCCATGTTTCACGTTCCCACTCTGGATGTGGCCTCTCCAGCAAATATTCTCAAATAATTAAAGAAAAGTAACATAGGTCGGAATTCTAATTTTTTCTCTGATACAAAAACTGATTTAAAGTTTTCCTTAATTTCCACTAAAGAAATGTTTTTATGGATGTTCTCATTGTTGACTAGGAAATTGATAAAAGAGGTCGTAAATATCCAGTACAAAGGGAAAAAACACTACATGGCAGTCGAGTTCGAACCCTCAAAGGAAATTAGCGGAGGTGTATGGTATGTTGATGGAAATCTCGACAAAGAACTCATTAATGTATTGAAACAGTTGTGCTTACGGTGTATACGTGTTCAAAAGGTTGCTACTATCGAGAGAGTTCATGAGGATTTGAAGAAGCAACGAGTGGTGATGTTCGAAATCTCTATCCAGCAAGTTTCTGAGATACTGAACTCAATGGTTTTAGACAATGAAATAATCGAGGTGAAGAGCACTGGCCTGGGGGAGTATTATTCCATTCCTATTGGAACAAGTTGTTACCGATTTGATAGCGGTGCTCTTGTAGCTAAGGGTTCGAAAGTGGGCGCATTTGCTTCAATTCCATGCGGTGCTTGTCCTCGGATTAGTCTGTGTACTCCCGATGGAATTATATCTCCTAGTACTTGTGTGTACTACTAACTGGTTGAATATTGATTTTTGATGCGCCTTGTGATTTGTCTTTATGAAGTTTGCTTTCAGCTGTACATTACAGATTTTTAATTATTTGATTTGAGCTATTTTCATTTGGTGTATCAGTATTCTCGTGTTAAAAAATTTCTCATTTTCATTTACACGAGACTGGAACATTACCCGTTTGGCCCCCATTCTTCTCCCCATTTTTTTCCTTTTTAACCACACATTTAAAAAAAAAAAAACTATTGTAACCATTAGAATTTGGCAAGAATGGGGGCCAAATGGGGGCTAAATTTAAATCGGTCCAACCATACTAGATTAGTGTGCATTGGAGGGTGTTGATCGGTTGCATGAAATTTGATGACTTGTCATATTCGAGACTTTTTGAGTTCTAAAATTCTTTACAACATGCATTCAATATCGTAATGACATATTATAATACCCTTTTGAAAAATAATGTTATGTAGTCTTACTGCGATTACAATTTCAATTGAGCGTTAGATAATAGGTTGAATAAAAGGTGAAATTAAATGTTTGACCTATCATTTAATGCCACAATAACGCTATCTAGACTAGAGTTGTAACTCTAATGGTGGTTCTTGTATTTGGTATTTCAAAGTTACAATGACCTGTTTTGCAGAGAACCTTATAGAGAGAGATTAGCTTACTAACAGGAGGAAAATTCATGCAGATGAACCATAGCTCTGAGTTACCCAAGTTCACTTCCAGAGGTAGCTATCATATGCTTCAACTCTTTTAGTGAATTATTGTTTGTAATTCTGGATATTTTTCTGTTGCAATGATTTCACGATATATTCTTTCCGGTGATAATGCAAGCTATGCCATGGAACAAATAATATATTTTATATTATTTTTTCCATTTTGAAGCTTTTGCCTCATTAAGATTGAAGAGAGGGAAGCTTTAGTTTTACAAATTGCTAGTGTACCAAATTTTAGAACAAACAGTACCACTTTGTATTGGCATATCAAAGGTGCTAACTTTGAATATGAATACTTGGAACTCATCCATTCCAAAATAAATTTGGTTCCCAAACTTTTGGCCCCGAGTCTAACATAAATCAGAAGCATTGACACCATCCAAATGTGAGACTCCAAGTTTGGCATAAATCAGATGCACGATACACATCCTTTTCACTCTTCATCCTTAAGGTCTCGAAAGGTAAAACTTGTGCTAATAGACCATTCTGTTTATTGGATTAGCCAGTAGGACTGGAAGTTTTAAGAGATAATACCCTTTCACATTGCTTTCATTTTTCCTCATTCCTTTTTCTTTCTTGGAAAGTCGGAACTGAGACTTTTGATATTTTAGAATCATATGCCTTGTGGACTATGAGATTCACTTGCTAACAAATATTTTCCGTATTATTTAACAGATAGGTTTTTGACTGAGAGAGTTTATGATACACTTACTAGCAGATCAAGGAAATACAAGCGATCCACCTCCTTCAATTCAAGGAGAGTAGTTCTTCTGTTCTCAATCTCGTAAGATCAAACCACATCACCATAGTTTTTGAACAATCTCATTTAAATGAAGTTGGATTACCTGTTCAAATAATTCTTACAATATGGATTTTACAACTTGATGTCAAAGTTGACGAAGCAAATGACAAGTAGTCTTCAAGGTTTACTGATAAAGCAGGAAATGCGCGATGACTTGAAAGTTGATGTCAAAGTACATGAAGAAAATGACAAGTAGTCTTCAAGGTTTATGGATAAAGCTTGAAATGCCTGATTTCATGATATAAATTTGTATAACCAACTTGGTATTCTCATTTCATTGTTTTCGGCATTGTAATTGTAGAACCACCATGCTGAAGGAAATGTAGAGGTTGATAATTACCCACTTTTTGGGACCACAGATTGTTTATTTATATTTGTTTGTACTAGTCATTGAAACCCAAGTAGTTCTCTGCTGTCTACTAGTTTTTCTTTACTGTTTTGGTGATAAAAACAATCAACTATATCAAAAAATAAATAAATGATAAATTGGATAGGATACCTAATGTAATGTCCAATGTGAAATTATAGTTTCGGCCATTATGTAACTGGAGTAATTGAAAAACTATTGTGTAGCGGACTATGCTAAATTGGTTAAGTTGATATTATGCTTCCATAGTTAGAATAATGTTTGAGTTGGTGCTACACACACTATTCAACTTAGTTCTTGTTGTTTTCATTGTATTTGTTGTTGCACTTTCTAGAGGAGAGTTGTGGGGGTGGAGGAGTCTTCAATTTAGTGAAACATCATGATAGACCAGTTTTTGATAATTAAGGTAGAAGATATTATGTTAAAGTGAAGTTTCAACCGTAACAATTCCAGATTTATGTCACTCATGTGTATAGTAAAAAATGGTGCATTCTCGAGTCTCTATGTGTGCATGAATGAGAGAGAGACTGAGAGAAGTTCCCTTCACCTATATGACCTACTTGAAGCTTTTAGATTATTGTTGTTCATTCTTCTTGAAATAATTATTCTTTAAACCAAATTCTAGGTTTTGTTCACCATTACTTTGGTTGCCAGTAACTAACTAGATTATCTTTTCCTCCCCAAGTCGATCTTGGGAACGATGATCCTAATATATCTGACTATGCGGATGTGGCTGATTGGTGATTGGTCTGGTAATGTTTGACACATCTGCTTTCCCTTGCAATCTCATTAGGACACTTGGCTTTTACCTTGCTCTTTTTTCTTTCCATTGCTCTGCTTATATCCCTTCGTGGTACTGTGGTCTAGGTTTTTTGTTAATGCACATAAACTGAAAAAAATCTGAAACCACATTTAGATAGTCCACTGGATACCTTTTTGTACAAAAATTTTGGTTTGATTCTTGCTAGTATGGATATGGTGTTTGTTTTGCAGACTATTGTGCAAAAAATTCTTTTTTAGAAATTCTGTGCATAGTTCAGATTGCTTCGAGGAATGTTTTGCTGTGTAATATGTCTTATTATAGCCATCTGATCTAGGCTATACAAGGACATAAAAAAGCATAATACAATACAAGCGATATATTTGAATTGAAGAAAACAAGAAAACAAACAGTTAAGACTCTTGGGTTTCTCTCTACAGCTGTGATGTCATATGACACCACTCGTGAGAAACGATGAAAGACAGACTTTGCAGTAGGAAATTGCATTCCCCTGTGAAGGAAAATGAAATCCAAAAACATTTTATAATTGAATTCCTGCAGAATTTGTTTCCTTAAAACTCAACAATATTGAGGTTTAAGTACACTGGTGAAGAAACACCATTTCACCTTCAACTGTGGCATCCCGAGATTTGCTGTTTAGAAGGCCGAAAAAAAAAAAGGTTCCCCTAATCCAAAATGAGAACTAGCTCTTTAAGATACCATTAGCATGAGTTTTTTCAGGAGTAGGTATTTCTAACTTTCCTCCCTTTCTTTTCGTCTTAAATAAAATCTTTAGCAAGGGTAGCCTCTTGTTGTGATTCTCCGATCACGAGAAGAGAATAAAAGAGGAAAAATAATTCTATTTCTACTTGAATAGAATTTACAGCAAAGTTTACAAACTCAAAAAAAACCGCTCAAAAGACTCTCCAATCTCTCTATTTTTTTTCTCTTTTCACACCACTTTCTTCCTTTCATGGGACATAAAATTCCTTTTTGTGACATCCCTTATTTATAGAGGAATTAGGCTGCAAACCACATCAATTTTATGGCCAGAATTCTGCCATTTAGGTGCTTAATGGGACAGTTAAAATTTATGGGCTGGTTTCATGCATGTTGAAGTCTTGTACATTAAGAAAAAAATGGTTGTCAACAGGTTTGAGACAGCTGAAATTGAAGCTGGGAATTTTGTTTCAACTTTGCTACTTTGCATGAGTGTTTCTTCTTCATGAAGTAATTAAAATTCAACAATTGTGGCTGGAAACATATCAATTCGCCCCCTCCGGTCGCATCCAAATCAATTGCTATTTGACAACCAATCCAGCTATGTCTCTGCATAGTTCTAGCTTCTCCTTTAAAACCACCTTTGTAAACATATCTGCTGGATTCTCATGGGTGTGAATCTTCACTAGTATCAACAGTTGTTGATCCATCAACTCTTTTATCCAATGATAACGAATGTCGATGTGCTTTGTCCGAGAGTGATACATTGAGTTTTTACTTTAAGTCAAAAACACTCTGGCTATCACAATGTACTTTGTAATCTTTCTACTTGATCCCTAATTCTTGGAGAAATCACTTTAACCACAATATTTTTTTACCAACTTCAGTCGCTGTAATATATTCTGCTTCTGTTGTAGATTAAACAATATACTTTTGTAGTCTTGATTACCTTGAAACAGCTCCTTTGCAAAAGTGCAGAGAAATCTTGAAGTAGATTTTCTATTATCAAGATCTCCAGCCATATCTGAATCAGTATAACCTTTCAAGATTGGATCAGCTCTCCCATAGCACAGACATATCTTTGATGTACCTTTAAGGTACCTGAGAATCCACTTAACTGCTTCCCAATGTTCCTTTCTAGGATTAGAGAGAAAACGACTCACCATGCCTACTGCATGGGCAATATCTGGCCTTGTACATACCATGGCATATATCAGACTTCCAACTGCTGAAGAATAATGTATCAATGACATCTCCTCTATCTCTTTCTTGGATGAGGGGCATGATTTTTTGCTCAACTTGAAGTGGTTGGCCAATGGAATGCTGACAGATTTGACATTATGCATGTTGAATCTCTTGATCACTCGTTCAACATACTTTTCTTGAGATAGCCACAACCTTTTATTCTTCCTATCTCGAGTTATGTGCATTCCCAAAATTTGTTGAGCTGGGCCTAAGTCCTTCATGTCAAAGGACCTGTAGAGTTCCTTTTTCAGCTGGTTGATTTTTGTTACATCTTGTCCAACGATCAACATGTCGTCTACATACAATAAAAGAGCAACGAAATTGCCATCTGGAAACCTCTGAATGTAAACACATTGATTTGCAGCGATTATTTTGTAGCCTTGGTTCACTATGAACGAGTCAAACTTTTTGTATCACTGCCTTGGTGCTTGCTTAAGGCCATACAAGCTTTTTTTCAATCTGCAAACGAAGTTCTCTTTTCCTGAAACTTCAAAATCTTCTGTTGCTCCATATAAATTTTTTCATATAAATTACATCCATCTATTCAAGCTCTAGATTCAAACTGTCTACCAATCCAAGGATAACTCGAATTGAGGCCATCTTTACAACAAGTGAAAAAAAATCTTGTCAAAGTCAATTCCCTTTTTCCGAAGATATCCTTTGACTACCAAACGGACTTTATGTTTTACCATATTTTCGCTGCCATCTTTTTTGAGCTTGAATACCCACTTATTCCTTAATGCCTTCTTTTCCTTCAGCTCAACAAACTCATATGTTTGATTCTTCTGCAGTGACTCCATCTCATCATGCATTGCTTGTATCCACTTGCCTTTGTCTACATGAGTTTGTGCTTCCTGAAAGCTCTCATTTGTCAGTGAGCAAAAGGTACTCTGATTCTGGATATCTCGCTGATGGAATTCGTCCTCGCTCAGATCTTCTTACTGTGGATTGTTGACTTCAGGAGGTGCATCATCATCTGGTTGACGTGATGGTCCGACAATTTTTGGTGAAGAGGATTGTGACTCCCCCTTATCAATATCATCTTCTTCATCCTCCTGTTCTGCTTTCGGCATTTCCTCATGCACATCGTCATTATCTATGATGAATTGTGCTGGTGCTGAATTTGGAGCAATATTCTGAGCACCAAAATTGGAATTAGGAGATATTGTGGGTTTTTCAATGTCTTCCAATGTCTGGTTTTCATGGAATAATACGTCCCTGCTTCTAATGACCTTCTTTGTCTTTGGGTCCCATAATCTGTATCCAAATTCCTCATCTCCATAGCCTATAAAGATGCATGAAGTGGTCCTTGCATCTAGCTTTTGTCTTAGTTCCTTGGATACATGTGCAAAGGCTAAATAGCCAAATACTCTCAGGTGAGAGTAGGCGGGATATTTACTAGACCATACTTTCTCCAGAATTTCAAAATTCAACGGTACTGATGGTGATCTGTTGATCAAGTAGTAGGCGGTTCAAACAGCTTCTCCCCAAAATGACTTTTGGCAGCTTAGCCATACTTATCATGCTTCTGGCCTTTTCCATGATTGTCCGATTCATCTTCTCGGCGACTTCATTATGTTGTGGGATGTGTGGGATCGTCTTCTCATGCCAAATGTCATATGTCCTGCAATAGGCATCAAACTCTTTAGAAGTGTACTTGCCTCCATTATCTGTGCAGAGACATTTCAGCTTATTTCCTGTTTCACGCTCTATCATGGCATGAAATGATTTGAAGTAATCAAATACTTGGTCATTTGTCTTCAAGAAATATACCCACACCTTTCGAGAAGCATAATCAATGAATGTCAAAAAGTATTTGTTACTGCCTAGTGATTTACTCTTCAAGGGACCACACACATCAAAGTGTACCAGATTGAGCAACTCTGATCGTCTCGTCGAAGAGAAATTGAGGAGACTCTAGGTTGTTTACCAAATAGACAGTGACTACAAGATCCAGCACAGCTTCCTTGGCAACTGTGATTAGCTCCTTCTTTGTCAAAGTAGACAATTTCTTCTCACTCATGTGACCAAGTCTCTAGTGCCACAAATTTTGAGAAGCTTCACGTTCTACTACATTGAGGCTATCCACATGCATTTTCACATGAGTCTTGTATAAAGTGTCACATATGTCCTCGAGCGACAACCAAGGAACCTTTCATCATTTTCCATGTGTCGTTGCTAAAGTGATTGACATAGCTTTGTTTGTCAAGGGCTATTCCTGAAAGTAGATTTAGCCGAAGATTAGGTATATGTCGAACATCTTTCAGGATTATTTTACACCCTAGGTTCGTTTGTATCTGAACATCACCAATTCCGACGATCTTAGAAGAAATCTCTACGTGGAGTGGCGTGGTAAGATGTTGCAGTGTCTATTACCCACTCAATCTCTTGGTTTGAGACATGAAGACATGTCTCCTCATGGATGGAGCAGATAGTTACCTCCCCAGAAATAGTGACTAGTGTCTCTTCTTATTTTTCGTCTACGAACTGTTGTGGCCTTGCTCTCGAAGCAATTTTCTGCAGTTCTTCTTCAAGTGCCCTCCATACCACAATAGTAGCATTTGTAAGTAGGCTTCCTTTCATCTATGGATCTACCTCTACTTTTGCTTCTGCCTCTCCCCCTGCCTCGAGTGCCTCCTTGTTGTCTTCTCCAGTTCACTGTGACAAGGGCATGTGATTGGTCCTTGTCTACGTCTTTTCTCCTGACCTTTTCATTAAATAGGGCTTCCTTGACCATAGACATGGTAAGTTTGCCATCAGGGGCTGAGTTGCTAAGAAATACAACTAATGTCTCCCAACTATCAGAAAGAGAACTTAAAAGTAGTAATTCTTGTATTTCTTCCCCAAGCGGCATCTCCACAGATGACAATTGATTTACCTAGCTCTGAAATTCACTGGTGTGCTCAGCAACTGAAGTTCCACTCTTTAATTTCAGATTCACCAAACGCCTCATCAACAGGGCTTTGTTTCAAACGGTCTTGGCCTGGTACATGCCCTCCAGAATCTTCCAAAGGGCATATGCATTTATCTCCTATGATATATGGTGAAAAACACTATGGTCAATCCATTGTCGAATTTGATCGATAGTTTTTCTATTTAGCTTCTTTCACTTCGTCTCCTTGGTAGGATCGGGGTTTATACCTTTGATTTCTAGGAGGTCATACAAATCCTTACAACTGAGGAGGTCTTCCATCCGAGGCCTCCATAGTATGTAATTGGTGATAGTGAGCTTGATCATAGCTCCTGATGAAGATTCCTCCATTGACATCTTGGCTTGTAAACGATTTATCAAAAACGAAGTTGTATTAAAAAACTATAAGGGCGAATTGATGAATCTGGTTCTGATACCACTTGTTGTGATTCTCCGATTACGAGAAGAGAATAAAAGAGGAAAAATAATTTTATTTCTACTTGAATAGAATTTACATCGGAGTTTACAAACTCAAAAGAAACTTCTCAAAAGACTCTCTCCAATCTCCCTATTTTTTTTTCTCTTTTTACACTACTTTCTTCCTCTCATGGGACATGAAATTCCTTTTGTGACATCCCTTATTTATGGAGGAATTAGGCTGCAAACCGCCTCAATATTATGGCCATAATTCTGCTAGTTAGTTGCTTAATGGACAGTCAAAATTTGTGGGCTGATTTCATGCATGTTGAAGTCTTGTACATTAAGAAAAAATGGCTGTCAACAGGTTTGAGACAGCTGAAATTGAAGCTGGGAATTTTGTTTCAACTTTGCTACTTTGCATAAGTATTTTTTCTTCATGAAGTAATTAAAATTTAACAATTGCGGCTGTAGTGGCAGAAATGCGGCTGGAAACATATCACCTCCTCCTTGCTGCTTTGTTTGGGTTGTATTTGTGGTTGGCTTCAAATTCATATCGACCATATCTTCCTGTTTTGTGGAGGAAAAAGCTTCCATTCCAGGCAATGCAGCAAATATTTTTAGAAATAGAGGCTGCAAAATGTTACTTTGCATCAAGATACAATAACACAATACTTAAGTCATCATTTAACAATATAGCTTTTGTGTGCTTGTGTAAATTGAAAGTATCTTTGGAAATCCCTTAAGAAAATAGAAGACTGCCCTTTATGCCCAATTTAAGCCCCTGTTTGACAACCTTTTTTGGGAAAAAATAGAGTTTTGAATAGTGATTTTCAGGAGAAATGCGTGGTTAAAAAGTAGGGAAAAATTTTGAATTTACGTGCAAAATATTTTAATTGTATGATTGAATGGTTGAAAATGAGTATGTAGAAGAAAGAGTTTAAAAATAATGGTTGTCTAACTATGGCTAAAGCACAGGTATACGTAACTTTATATTGATAGCCAAGCTACATGTACAGAAAATAAATGTGCAAAACCGGTACAAAATACACACATGCAAGGGTGGGTGGATTATTTTTTGCAATATTTTAATTCACATGGGGTCTGCCCTATGTGAGTGTCTGTAAGCCTTTTGTAGATTATTTTTCTGTACAATTGGCATTTTTCTTATATTGAAACTTGCTTTAGCACTAGTTTCTATAAATATGACACCAGATTCACTAGCCCTTCCATCTCCTTCAATGGAAAATTGCTTGTTTATACACAAGAATGAATCGTCAGAACGATGCTGGCCACTTTTTGAAGAAACCCTGATCTATAAATAGATCAGAGATATGAACCCTTAGATTGACTTCATTACTAGCAAGTACCAAAGGTAGAAAATCATGGAAATTTTCTCCACACCTTCTTTCAACAAGATCAGTTTTATTCCCTACAAGAACAATAATGACATCAATCCCTCGTTCTGTTCATACGTCCTAAATCCACTTTGAAGTGTCTCTAACAGTATATTAGCAGAATAACCAAAGATGTGAGTTTTGGCAGAGAATTAATAGAGAAATATTTATGAGTTACTTCCAACATCATAGGCAATGACTGCTACAGAAGAATCTCTAATGTAGCTTGGAATAAGACTTCGAAATCTCTCTGGACCAGTAGTGTCCCTGTGACCAGTCATATGAAAGTACTGGTTATGAGATTTCAATGAGATGATGATTCCTGCATTTGGACGCTTATTTCTTGTAATGACTGACTAGTTTCACACAACCTAATTTCAACATAAAACCAACAAATGGTGGTGCATGGCATGGTCAACTTATCCTAGATTGCTCGAAATCTCCGAAGCTTAAATACATTTCCGGTCTTTAAGATACATTGTTTTTGACAAGAAATCTATGCCAATAGTGGCCTACCTGCTGTTCGCAAAATTATTTCTTCTCGATTTTAAAATCCATCGCAAGTGTACGGTTCGTTAACAAGTAGTAAAGTGGACTATGAGTCCAAGTATCGTTCCCACGAGGATTAAATTAGCTCTAATTAAACTAATGTGACCTTAACCGAATCTAATTGAATGAAAATTTGGTTTAAATGTAAAAACCCTAATTTTGGGAGAAATCCCCAATTCGAAACCCTAATTGCAAAAAAAACCCTAATTTCAAAATTGGAAACCCTAATTTCAAAATTTCATTAATCTAATGAAATAAATACGCAACTGAAATGTAAATATGCAATTTTAGAACTATTGTATTGAAATGAATTGAAATGAAATCATTAAGAACTTGAATCCCCAATTGACTATTAAAAACCCTAATTT